GGAAAAGCCGAGCCGTGCAGGGCGTGGGTGTGTTTGGGGGAACGTGCCCGGAACGGGAGAACTCGTCAGACGAGTCCAGCGTTGGCCTCCGCGCGAACGGGTGACAAAGCAGCGGCTTTCACTGCAGAGCCGAGGTGTGGGACTGGCAACACGCTCTGAGCTCAAACTGGCAAAATACCCCGTGTTTATATCTTGTGGAGCTGTTGGGAGCTTTGCTTGCTGGTACCTGGGTGTGCTCTGAGCAGAGTCAGGAAAACCTGATTCAGAGCAAGCCTAGGCTTGGTTTTGCAGAACACGGGATAGTCTCAGCAATTTTCTGATAAATTAAGTTTATTCTGGATTCAGCTTTTAGAGGATATTGATATGGACTTATAACTGCCTGCCAGGAAAAGATCATCCGTGGAAAAAAATTGAGTAATGGGATGGATGCTTGCACTCTGTCTTCTGGGCACAGTGTTTCGAGCCTGTTCTAAGCCAGGTTTACTGTGTCAGGCCTTTATTCTGGGGTGAAGCAAATAACATAAGGGCACCATAGGACTGGCTGGCTGCCCCTCTGCATGCATAGTTTAATTCTTCAAACCATGGAGTGAGGTGTTGCTCCTATCCTGAAGCTGGTTTTCCCTGATGGAGCTGCAGGCCAGGAACTGTGTTAAGCTGCTGAGCACTGGCAAATCTGCTGAGCAATTCCTTTCTCCCTCTGCTAACCAAGGGGTGACTTAGGAGGGCTTTATTCACCTAAAGCCCCGGCCTGAGCAGTCTGTGCAGACGCCTTTGGCTCTGAAAGGGTCACAGGGGCAGGGGCCAGTGCTGGACTGCTGAGCTCCCCCCCCTGTAACTTCAGTGGCTCATTCACAGAAATACTTCCAGAACAAACCAGCATCTGCAGCTTGAGCAGTGGGGTTTGCAGTGCTGCCTTTTGCAGTGCTCTGCTCTTTAGACTCTCAGTGATGTTCACTGGATGAAGAAATAAGAATCTTGGAGTCAGTAGTCAATGTGATATTTCTGCTGTAAATGGATATTGTGAGAGCATTTGCCCCCAGTCCAGTCCATGCAGCCTCTCCTCGTGGTCTGTCTCCTTCCTGCCAGTTCACTTGCACTCAGAGTTTCTCTGCCTCCTACCCCCTTTCCCTTGTTTCTCACCTTTCTTTTGCCCTTTAATTGACTTGCTGAACCAGCCTGTCTGATGTTCTTGCTGCTGTGTGCAAAGCAGCTGGATGGTAGAACTGCATCATAAAAACATCAGTGAAACCCGAAGCCTGTATTTAGTATCTGACAAAAGCAAATAAAATTGGCTTTTTTTCTTCTGTGAAAGATTAGAGAAGAGCAAACATGACTTTTCTGAGGCCTAGGTCATAATCTGAACACTGAAATTTATGACCAGATGAAAGAAAGCAAACACAATATTAATAATTTCCATATGTTGCCTGATTGCACAGGGTGTAGTGACGTAGAGATGACCTGGGGAACACTGGGAAGTGCCCCTGAGTAACATCCCTGGCGGGTGTCACCCTGTGAGTTAACTGGCCTGCACAGCACTGCCTGTGCATCCCAGATGTGCAGGAGTCATGTGGAGCATGAGCAAACACACTCCTGCTCTTGCACAACTGCCTGGCCTCATGGAGAGCAGCTACTGAGCACCACGAGGAGAGATGTCATCCACTGCTGGCACCTCTGCCTCTGCTCCAGGGCTTTAGTGTGAGACCTCACTCCATCCTGGAGTAAAACCACCCAGGCCTGGTGGGTGGCCTTTACTTGCTGTCCCTGTGTTTGCATCTCTTATTTTTTATTAAATTCCACTCCTCTGTGTGTATGTATTGCCTGCCTTTCCTAACTCCTCTCCTGTGATGCTGGGATAACTTGAGTTGCAGGGAGGTGAACCTTGTCCTAGTACTTGACATCCTGTCAGATGATCAGAGATATGGGAAAATAATTTGGGTGTGTTAATGTATGAGCTGTACACATGAAAACAAAATTATGAGCAGAAATAAGAACCATGGCCAGACAGCAATTAATCTTTGGTGGTTTTGAGGGCTTTGCCAGCTAAAACTGCAGCTCTACGAGGAAGAACACACTGCACCAAACTGAGGTGTTGAATACAAAATGTGTCATTAAAATATAAAGAGGGGAAGTAATTCTCCTGCCCCGGTGCTCGAGTGAGGTTATCCTTTGTTTGCTCATCTACACCACGACTTGTCTCTGCCTCCCAGGCAGGATCCATGAAGGCTTTAGGGCTGCGTGGGCACCCTCACCCTCTTCACCCTCACCCTTCTTCACCCTCACCCTTCTTCACCCTCACCCTTCTTCACCCTCAGGCTCTCACCCGCCAAGGTGAGACCCATGTGTTTTGGAGGACACGGGAATCCAGCCTGTTCTCTTTGCTCCCAGGGTGACACTGTCTGCTTCTCCTTGTAGCCTCAGGCAGGCTGTCACAAATGTGGCAGTAGTAAAGAATCTTATTAAATTACCAGTGCTAATCACCTGTCTGCCCAGCAGGTCCCTTCCAGCCTGGCCCTGGCCCTGTGCTGTCCTGATCCAGCCTTTGCTCAGTGCAGAGCAGGGCTGCAAAGGAGGCTGCTCAGGGTGTTCACTTCAGTGTTGCTTTTAGTCCTCAAAGAATTAGAGGGTTACTTCACCAGCCCCACTAACCTGCAAGGGTAGGTGTATTCTATTAATTATTTGCTGGAAAACTAACACTCCCTGTGGTTTTTATTGCAGCTGTCTGAGTGCCTGGGACACAGACAATACCAGATTGACCAGACCCCAGCACGATGGTGAGTGTGTGTGTTTGCTGTGCCACCCTGTGCCAGGCCTTTGCTCCCACCACATACACGTGGGCAGTGGAGCTCAGATAAGGACCCAGCAGGAAGAATGCTGTCACTGTCTGTCCCTTCACAGGGGGGAATTTATCACCTCTCTCTGCTTCCTCATACTAAATAATGACCCACACATCCGGGCTTTTCCGTTTGGGGAGTTAATGGAAAACCAGTCGGATATCAGGTAGTTCAAAGAGCAGGAATTTCTCTAGATGAACTTCCTGGGTTTATTCTTTCCAGGTAGCATCCAGTTCCACCCTGCTGCCATGGACAGGGACACCTTCCACTAGAGCAGGTTGCTCCAAGCCCCAACCTGGCCTTGAACACTTCCAGGGATGGGGGAACACTTCCAGAGATGGGGGAACACTTCCAGGGATGGGGGTACACTTCCCTGTCCCTGTTTCAGAAAGCCTGACCCATGTGAATGTTAAGTGATGTTTTGCTGAGGATCTTCCTGAGAACATGAGAGCTTCGTAAGAGACAGTGTATTCCCCCAGAAATGGCACTGGACAGGAGGCAGGAGGAAGCTATTTGTGAATCTCCATTTTGGGTAAAACACTGCACTTCCTGGTGCGTTTATTTAACAGAATGATGGTCCTTGGCTGCTCTTGGAGAATTCAGAAACAGGGCTTTGATGGGAACATTTCTTCTATGATTTCCATGGAAAACTGCTGGGAAGAAGCTGGATGAACAGAGGTGTTAGGCTGTGTGCCATTCTTTGACTGGAAACTAGATACTCCAGAGGCATCCACATTAAGATATTTTCTTCTGTGTCCCTGTGGCTTATTTCTTACGTGGCTTGGATATCCCTCTAGAACAAACCATTTCTGTTTAGGATGGAACCCTGGTATAAAATCACTCATGTTTGGTGAGTGGACTTTACACTGTCACTGTGTTTGCATCTTTTGAATATTCTTTGGTTTTAGTTCACCTCTGTGTATGTATGACTTTGTGTCTGCCTTTCATAACTCCTCTCCTGTGGGTTTAGGCAACAATCAAGGGAGTCTCGAGCTTCAGTGCTGAGCAAGAGGCACAGGCACTAAGGAAGGCCATGAAGGGGCTTGGTAAGTTGCTTTCCCTCCACTGTTAAACCCTCCTTCATGCCCCTGGAGATTGGGAATGTTTTTATGGTGTTTGTTGGAGGGGAAATCCAGCCCTTGGAATCACCCCACTGCCCTGTGAGGGCACTGGAAGGAACTGAGTGACTTGAACCTCACTGGAAATCCAAGTCTTGGCCATAGTGAGGCTCTTGTTTTCCCTCCCCTGTGGGGTGGTCCTGCCCTGCTGGGGCTGTGCTGAGGCACTGCTGCCCAGCTGAGAGCCAGCTGGTGTGCTGGGGTGTGAGGGCTGTGTGGGTAATGGCACAGCCTGGACACGACCAGAGCACGGGGCTGCTTCTTGAACAAGCAGCTTGACTGGTTTCCATTGGTTTCTCCAGGCACAGATGAAGATGCCATCATTGAGACCTTGACCAAACTGAACGTTTCCCAACGCCAGCAAGTTCTGATCACCTATAAAAGCACTATTGGCAGGGTAGGTGTTCTTCAGAGACCGGTGACTGTGGCTTGAATTGGAAGTTGCAGACATTTTTTGGGTTGTGTCACTGGGGTGAACTGTGAACAACATCCCAGTCTCCATGGCAGCGTGACCAGCACAAGCTTTCCTTGGCCAGGTTTATTTTGGTCTTGTTCACTTCTGAGTAACTGTTTATCCAAGGAGGACTGGAGCATGAAGAAAATTGTGAACAACTTCTTCCTGTTCTCAAAAGCTGTATTTTCTCTCACCTCCTTTCCTCTCTCTCTGTCTTCTAGGATTTGATTGATGACTTGAAGTCTGAGTTGAGTGGGAATTTTGAAAAGGTGATTGTTGGTTTGATGACTCCAACCACCTTGTACGACGTGCATGAGCTGAGGAGGGCTCTAAAGGTTTGGAAATCTTTTGTGTTTCTCAAGTTGCAGTCAATTCTGTATGATATGGCATAATTGTACATTTATTATTAATTTCTTATTATTAACTTAAATATAACAAACAGAAAGTCATAGTTGCCCATCCAAACAGTCGTCATAGTCTTGGATCTTGTCTTTGCCACCCCCCAGGGAGCAGGAACAGATGAAGGCTGCCTGATTGAAATCCTGGCCTCTCGCAGCAACGGGGAGATTCGGCACATCGTGGAGAGCTACAAACTGCGTATGTGGAGCACTCTGCAGTCACACTG